CTCAATACCTGAAAACACTGACTTCACTTTTTTGAAAAAGTGAAATTGTCTTTCCTTTTACTCCCAATCAACAATCAAATATCTTTTCTTGAATTATGAATAACAAGAATGGTTTGAAATATTTAATTATCTCAAAGTAAACCTTAATTTCAGTGCAATATTGAAATTAGCTTGAACTCTTCATAACCTCTGAATAGTGGGTGACTCAACGGGTCACGGGTGGTCTATTATATATATAGATCTAATTTTCATCAGAAGCATTCAGTGAACAGCTAACTTTTGCTAGAAAGTGGCTACTATAAACTGGATGTGATTTGTGATAGAACATCAACATTACCTTAGTCTAACTATAACCATAGTGATGAATTTTAATATTCAATATCTGTAAACTTTTAACACAATTTTTTTTCTAAGTCATAAACCTTATACAACTTAAAATGGGATCTGTCAGTTTCTAGAAATTAATTTTTTTAAGTAACCAATGAGTTCTTTCAGCTATTAACACAAATAATTTTTTTCTAAATAATGAGCTTTATAAAACTTGCAATAAATTCTGTCAGCTTTCGTAACTGTAACATTTTAATAGCATTGTTAGAACTATATGGATAATTGCTATACGTAAACAACAAAGTTAGTTTTAACAGCAAAATATTAATGTTACACAATACACTCGATTTAAAAAATAAAAACTTAATATCATACACGGTATAATAAGCTCAAATAAATAGAAAAAAACTTTCCAAGTTTTTATTTCAAAACATACACTCAAACCATTTTGTGGTACCATGTGTAATTTTTAAAACAGGTAAATATGCTAATTCAGAGGCTAATATGTGAGAAGCCATTAACCTCAAATAGAAAGGGTCTGAAAACACAGAAAATACCATACTAATATGTGAAACTAAACTCAAATGAACTAAGGATGACAAACACACCTTTGATTTCTCATTTAGCAGTGAAACAGGAAGTTTTGTTTGTTTCATAACAACCTGGTAGGGATCTTTAATAACTTTTCCTAATTCTTTTTGAAAGTTCTGTAGTGCTGACTGGGTCACAACTTTAGTGTTACCTGATGAACAAAAAGTGTCAATATAAATTTTGTATTAAAATTGGTGCTTATTCTGTTACTTAAGATGTATCAGTTAAGATAAAATATTAAGCTTGTAGTACATAACAATTTATTCCATAATGTAATTCTAGCAAAATTAAATGAAAAACAATTAGACTATAGCAAAATGGGTTGAATTCTAGCAAAATTTTAATGGAAAAAGTGTTTGAGAAAAAATAATTAAAATAATTTGAAAAATTAAATTTATTCACAAAAGAAAACAAATATAAAAGTTTTCAAAAATCATAAGGCCAATCTAACACTTCCCATCCAAGAATAAAATTAGTAGTTAACTCAAGCACTGAGATACAGACTAAGAAGTTACATATTGCTGAATTATATTCATGTGAAGGGTAGAAATAAGTAAATAAGATTATAAACACAATGTTTTCTGTGCAATTAACCAAAACTGGTTAAAGTAAACAATCACAAATAAGTTTGACAAGTTACTCATAAACATTCAGTTGAGTGGATAATATTAACTGAACTAAAATAATTAGAGTTTGGTGATTAATTTTAAACGATCTATCAGTAGGAAAAAAAACTTAACATTTTCCTTATCTCCCTCAACCACTAAGATATATTGCTTCATGTCTAACTGCCATGGAATTTCCTGGGCATGCTGTAAGCCTTTAACAAGTTCCCACCCCTGAATGTATCTATGTGTACTGTGCCAATCAGTGATGTAACCCTCCTCCAACAGGGGAATGACACAATTTCCATGTCAGTAACTTCCATGAGCACTAGCACAAGCTCACAGTCTTATTCTTGACAAGGCAAAGAAAATGTACCAAAGTGGAGAGGAAGAGTGAGAAGGTAGTGCAGATAGGTAAGTACGTATCTGAAATACATTTTCAGGTAAGATAAACGTTAAACTTTAGAAATGCTACTTACCTATCAGCACCACTAAGAAGTTACAATCCCACTTTGAAAATGATAGAAGGATTGCTGCTGATTAGTTAAAAAGACGAGCTACTTTCTGAAATAGCAACAGCAAGGGAAAATGCATGAAGTGCAACTTCTTCAAAACAGAGGGTCGCCTAGTGGAGAATGCATCTTTCTCAAGTAGGGAATACTCTTCACCCTTGTTGCTATTTATTCATTAACAAATCATACACACATACCTAGGCCAACAACACAATCAACAGCAAACAAACAATAATAAGTTCAATGAAACAACTAACTATAAAATCCTGCACTGTTGCATACCCTAATTCCCGATATTAGCAATAAAATAATCAAAATTTGGAAAAAACATACAACAAAACATAACATTCCAATAAACATTAAGTTCAGTCAAAAACCAGGCACAAAATTAAAATCTATACTATGTGAAAAAACTACACTGACAAACATAACACCAACATTATTTATAAAATACAATGCAACAACTGCCACGATTTCTATATCGGAGAAACAAGCCAAAAAATGGAAACCAGATTCAATGAACACAAAAAACACCTTCCCATGTTTTTGAACACTGCAAAACAAATAAACACCATAGAAAACACTAACACATTAAGCAGAGAAACAAAGGCAAACAAACGAAAAATAAAAGAAGCCCTACTTATACAAGAACTCAAACCAAAATTGAACCAACATAAAGGAACATCATTCACACCTATATTATTCACCTAACAACTAATTGCTACACCCCCTACAATCTTGTACCTGTTCACACTCTCGTCCCTAAGACATGCACCCAGTAACAGTCAGTTTCATCAAACTGTCTTTATTAACCTGAAGATGACATAAGAAGGTCGAAATGTTGTTCTTGTACTTTATTTTAATTAAAGATTTTAATACCCATACCAGCAGTCTCTGCTATACAAATTACCTTTATATCACAGACTCGTAGTAAAGGATATTGAGTAAATCCAGTGTCAGTGTTACAATGTGAGAATGTATAGTGCAGCTTGGGTGTTAGACCCTTCCATGTTGGCAAAATACTTACATTAGATATTGTAAACACAGGTGAAGGGAATAATAGCTCACACGTGCATACGAAGGCAAATCCAAGTCCCATCTGACTGAACATGTCCATATCCATCAGGGAACACCCCAGCCTTACATCTCAAACAAGGGGTGGGCCCAACTGGTCTCTTACTAACAGGTAGGCATCACTCATAGAGGAAAATCTCCATATCCATATCCCCAGTGGCTTGAGACTGGGGAAATAAGGATTCTCCCATACTCCAATAGAAGAATGGGAGGGATATGCACCGGGGAAAAACACTAAAATGTTTGTGTGGACCACTGTCATCAGGAGGCACAATCACCTAAAATTGGGTCCTCATAAAAAACTGTGGAATGCTTTATTAATAAAACTAAACACAGCAAGTCTAAGCTAGGTGTTGGGGCAAAACTACGCCTGGTGCTTTTTTTTGTGTAAATGATGTGGAAATGTCCACGTCAATTATAGATACACTGCCAAAGCAGTCTTACAGAAAACCCATTTCAACAGTAGGCACTGAGCAGAGGCAGACGGGTTTAACACTTTCTGTTCACCCCTTCTCGATGCATACTTCAGTTAGTATTCCCTGGGAGGCAATGTTAGCCACTCAGTGGTTTCCAGTGACACCAAGTATAAGGAACATAGGGTGTAGTTTCTCATGTAACATTGAAACTGGCAAGGTTTGCCTCCTCCAGTTCATCTCGCATGTTTTTTGTTTTGTTATTTTGTTGAGAAACTTACAGTCTGTTGGAATGTGTACAAAAATCATGATACACATAAAGATGTCATGAAACATATGAATGACATGGAATTGTCTGAAAAACACAAAAGCCAAAACTCTCCAAACTAGAGCATCTAGGTAGACTGGAGGGAGACAAAAACCCAATGAGGGCACAGAAAACAATCCAATGATATGAGTAATGGGAGATGAATGTATTAGGTCTAGTTCAGCAACCAAAAAAAGGCATGAGAAGCTGTGACATGTCAAAACTGGTGGGAAAAGATGCAAAAAAGTGTATGGTCTGACTTACACAAAGAAAAATATGGGAGATGAATAAGTTGGCAAACCTTACCAGTTAAAGTGGAAGGGATCGAGTTCTGAGAAGAAAAGGTCTGTCATGGTGAAAATACTCTCTATAATAGTAAGTACAGTTGGAGTCTAAGGCATAAATGTTTAAAAGACTATGAACGTAAGCACAGAAAAGGAGAAAATACATCTTGAGAGACAAACGATATTAGAAACAGGAAGCCAATGCCTCAAAGAAGGGCAAGCAAGAGCCCAAACGACCACACAAAGGTCCCAGTAGGAGAGAGGTACCAGACAAGGGGGTAAGGAAGAGATTTTTGAACGAGAAGAAAACAACACTCCATGGTAGTCTGCACTGGATGAAACAGACAGGCTCTAGATCAAAAGAAAGAAGTATGATGTGGAGGAGTAGGACCACCTGGCTAAAGAGTGGTAGAGAGACAGCCTATGTACTTTGATAGAGGGTGAGAGTAGAAGGCTGACAAGAGCGAGAGAGAAAATGGGCAACTCATTGGTAAAATCTCATATGCCACACAAGGGACCAGACAGATTCCACACATAAAGATGAAGGAGCAATACCCTGTAATGACACATGGGCAATCAAGGTTGATTGAGGAGAAACCTTTAATGTGGGAGTCACAAAAACATCGATCAGAGGGATTCCAAAATGGAAACAAATCCAACTAAAGACTGAAGAATGCAAAGACTAATCATTGGGATGAATCCCATTAAAGCAAGAGAGGCAATTTGCAACTAGATAAAAACTATAAAAGCATGACATTTAATAAGATGAATACAACAGGAAGTTCAGAGCATGAAAAGGGCTGGTGCTTCCCTTGTAGTTGATTGAAGTAATGAATACAGAGCTGTCTGGGCAAATAATCATCAGATGACAGGAAAACCACAACCAAAGAAGAGGGCAAGCCCAATAAGCTACAGTCGTTTCCAGAAAAGAGAGTGGTAGTTGGTGAGACCCCCCCCCCCAATCAGAAATAGAGGCATTGGTGGAAAGATGAAAGTAGAGCCAATGGGGGAGAGGTATACCCTGAGATGGGTTGGAGTGAGTCACCACGTCATACATATGTAGAAAAGGGTAGAGACATGAGGGTAAATAAAGGAACATGAGACAGCTCCAATAATCTTCCAGAGTCCAATGAAGGGGACATGTGAGAGGAATCAAGGCTTCTAGGAAAGTCCACAAATGTGAGAGAAATGCATGAGAGAAATGCACTGGATGCCAAAATCTTAATAGAGCAAATATGCAATGGAGAGGGTTAAGCAAACCATGTACATGAGATGAGGAAAACCTCCAGGTGAGCAAGAAATTGAGTCAAAATCGATTTGGAAAGTTAAACTAGCCTACTCAGGTAAAAAGCCACCTGAAAAAAAGTGAAGGAAATAATTACCAATTCCTGTTGAGATAGGGCAAGGAGAAGCAAGATAACTATATAGCAATGGATATAAAAGCCAAGAAGATGCATGTGTTGAGCAAAGGAACATATGATATGGCTAGGCCAAAAGGAAGGACAATAAAACTGAGATATGACCACTGAAGACAAACTGGAGGAATGACAGAACACTGAACATACAGAAATGTGAAGGAAAAAATTTGAAATGTCTACTTTGATTAAATTCAGATTAGGAAAGAGGGCCCAACACAGACTGAGTAAGCCATTCATCAGGAATTGAAGAAAAATGAGAAAATGATTATGAGAAGACAAGTCAGTGACAGGACACCAAACCTCCAACTTCATGGGGATGACAAAAAAGATGTGAATAAAAGCCTTGAGTAGGGTTCTACAAATCTTGCCACCAACAAAGAAGACACCACATCCTAAAGATGATGAAGATGCAGAGGATCAGTAACAAGAGGATATTAAGGAAGAATGTGCAAAACCTCAGGGTCACTGAAGAAAGAAAAACACAGAAGGGTACTGGGATCATATAAAAACAATGTAAGGGATGAAAATACTCACCCCT